CACTGTGCTTCACAATTAATTCCCACTGCTTTCCATGGAGAGAACGTCTTAAACATGACCTAGAGATACTGACACATGGAACTGGGTAGAACAAATAATTTAACTCCAATTCCCGTAACATACTGAAAGAGCTGTGTGTTTTTGATTCCATGGGACGAAGGCTGAAGGAGTGCAAGATTCAGTTGCTGCAGAATCATGATTTACCTTACAGCTAAGAGGAGAAGCTGATGTAGCTCAGTTCAGTTTGACCATGCACTCAAACCACAGAAACTTCATGCTTTTAAAACAGCACAAACAAATGTGGTGCCAGAACTGCCTTAAGAAAGGGACATAGCAGAAACATCTGTACCTATACTTTCTCTCATTCTGATACAATAATTATTCATATATACACAAACATACACATACATATTCTAATCTATACCAGCCTCTTTGAAGGCAAAAATACACTAGAACAACAATGAGAGAGATACAGTATTCCCACTCACTTGTCCTACATAGACCAATCCATGAAGAGAGTCAACAGCAACACAAAATGTTTGGCCAGTGAAGTATTCTGGAACTTTAGGCCAGCCTATGTCCAGCTTGTACATCTGCTGCTGTCCCCTCCGAGGATGTGAGTAATTAGATGCATTTAGAACCTGAAACCAAAAAGCAAATATCCAGCAGTAGTCAAATTCTGTGGGATCAGAAGAAACAGCAGATGAAAACAACTGTATGCTGAAGCATTATAATATACAGATATGAACTCCAATTTAAATGAATAAGACAGATAAACAGAAACAGGTTTCCAGCTAGGGATTTGGACTTCAAATGAGAAAACTTCAGCACACTGATAATTAGCTATAATGAAGTCCATTGCACTGGGGAGCTCTGGAATTAGAAGGCAAAACAAATCCCCTGAAATTCCTTACATGGAAGCTGCTACCACTATCTGTAAGTCACACTCCAAAAATGAGGAAAATATTACAGAAGGTTCCAAATACAACAGACTCAATAACCAAGAAAGGTCAAGAAAAGTAAAGACATCTTAGAAATGGAGAAGTGTAAAATACCAGGAATGACCGGACTCAGGTCAGTGTATTATTCAGAGGGTTTTTTAAAGAGTAATGGAAATGAATAATCTTCCAGCTTTTTGTTCTACTCTTCCAGCAAAAGAGTGGGCGCTAAGGGCAGAAACAGAAAGCTCAGCCTGGAGCTCAGAAGTAACGAGGGCTGAAGGCGCAGGACAGTCTGACACCTCCGCCAGGCGCAGGTGCTGGCACAGCTCAGCCGACAGTCAGGGCTGCACGGACCATCCCGACGGAAACTCCGCGAGCGATCAGGCAGGGACAAAACCTGACCGCAACCAGTGCCAAACTATTCCCCCACATATCCGGCACAGCGAGCCCCGGCCCCGCCGCCCCC